CCCCAAAACCCCAAAACCCCACTACATAGTTCAGATATCTTGATAGTCTACGCATTCTAGAGCTTAAAAAATTTGTAGTACTAAGCTTTTCTGTCATTTAACTATAGTTTATTGAAATATATAAAAAATCAATTTGAGATTAGTAATTTAATATACTTAAGAAAAACAACCTGCATTTCAAATGTAAAATTATGAAAGAAGTAGAAGTAGAGATAAACATCAATAAAGAGGTTCTGAGATGGGACGCGGAGTAGGATCTTCGCGAGGTAACGAAGGGTTCAGAAGCCAAATTAGAGGACCCTAATAATCAAGAATATCAAAACATGCATCGATATAGCTGCTTTCAAATCACTTCAAAATAACTCTAAGAGGAGCGAATTCTACCATTAATATGTATGAGATCTCTATAACTCCCGCGATATCAGATTCCACTCTAAGACGATAAATTTTAAGAGAAGCGAAACCCTAGCTAACTCAGCTACTTGGTCTTTACCTGTACTACTCTGACTCAATATTCTCCACATCTTTCATGGCTTCAGAAATGAACTTAGAAATTGCCTACAAATTTTAAGCCTACCAAGTTAGCATAATCTTCCAGAGATCATTTTCACTTGATGACTAACCTAGCGAATTCTAGAGTTTCAAGGACAAGGTACTTAACTATGTCTTTATTTAGTGCAAAAAAGCAATGTCAGATAACAACTTCAAGGTTGTAGGGAGACTTTAAAAATTTTACAATCCTTAGGAAAAGGTGAAAATAAATGCTCACAGACTTGAAGTATGGCCTGGTTATTCAATGCAAGTTAAATGTCTAAACGACGGTATTTTCTTAAATGTGGACTCAATCAGTAAGTTTATCAGCTAAACCACCATTTATGATAAAATCAAGCAAATGTAGAGGGAGAGATACACACCAGAATAAATTAAAGAAATGTTGCTCCAGGATTAATAATTAGTTGTTATCACAAAGTATAATTCTCGCCAATATCATGTAGTCGATATCTCTTTTGATATTACTCCATCAGCACATATATTTACTTGGGAATACTACAATCCATTCAATGAATAAAAAGAAATACTTACTACTGACATGGTTGAGTTTTTCAATTTGAAATGGAATCTTGTGCTTCCTTCAAATGAAAAATCTTAGCCCTGTCTTATTTCAATTAAAGATGGCAATCAAGTTTTATTACCAGCTTCCCTTTGTCATGAGGCTTCCCTCCCTAAAAGTTTTACCAAGGATTCTGCTCTAATCAGAAGCATCTAGCCTTATAAGTTAAACAAACCTCAAGAAAGATTTGAAAGGATAGGCCTTATTATAGATAAAATAAAAGATAACTAGGTCTTTGCTGATTGGGATATCAAGGTTTCCTAAAATTTTGCTTAAATCAAAGCAAAATAACTCGCACATCCTAATGTATACAATTAGTACAATATGAGTAGTCCGTTTGAAACATATGAAAACAAGCAGTATTTTCACACTCAGCCAGCATAGCTGATTGATGAAAAATGGGCTCTAGTATATAGTGGGGAGAGAGAGCAGTTCGAATATGCAACAAAACTTGTGGAATTAATGAAGTAAGCCTCAAGATAACTCGGAATAAAGGTTGATGACCCTTAATGGCTAGAGATCCCAGAGATATGCTCTCCTGACTGCTTCATTGATGCTATCAAATCAGATATTGATCCGAATTACACTCAAATTATAGTAGTTATTTTACCAGCGAGATCTTTAAAGCCTAATATAAAAAAGTACTTGGATGAAATCGGCCTTCCATCTCAGTTTATTATCACTGACACTATAAGAAAGTGCGTAGATGGTCCTAGAATCCAATTAGGGCCAATTTCCATGATTTTAAAGCAAATAAATGCCAAGTAAAAGCTAGATCTTTATAGATTAGTCCTACCTTATCTTAGAAGAAGCATGATTATTGGAATCGATGTCGCTAAATCTGGAAATAAAGCTGTTATTGGCTTATCTGCTTCTTACAATTCTCATCTGACTCAATACTATTCTTCAGTTAGAATCTAAGATCTGCCTAAATCAGGAGATTTTTTAACTGGTGAAGAAAGAACTAGCTATTTAACTACTCAACGGATAGTACTTATCAAATAGATGATTCATTAGGCAATGCAGAAATATTAATCCTTCAATCAGGGAATGCTGCCTGAAAAAGTCATAATATACTGAGACGGGGTAGGCGGGAAGGTGTTAGAAGAATGCGTAATGAAGACTGAAGTTTAGCTCATCATAGAGTTGATTTAATAGCAAAGTATCAACTACAGTCCCATGATTATATATGCACTAATTGATAAGCTGTCTGACCATAGACTCTTCATGACTTCTAATGATTAAGTGTGGAATCCTGGTCCTGGAACAGTTGTTGACACTGCTCTTGTTGATAATTAAGGGGAAATCCTATTTGATTTCTATATGATTCCTCATAAAGCACCTGTTGCTACTGCTCTGCCAGTGCATTTCAAAATAGTTTACAATTCGAGTGAGCATGATAAAAATGATATTGAAACTTTTACCTACCATCTCTGCTATGGATATTTTAATTTTGTTGGACCAATCAAAGTTCCAGCTGCCGTAATGTATGCTAAGAAAATTGCAAATTATATAATTGACTACAAGATTATCGAAACAAACAACACATTAAGTGACAGCCTTCATTTTCTATGAATTTATAATTGTCTTAATTTAACATTTAATCAATTCCTAATCTAATTTGTATAGCTACCTTCAGGGGTTTTGGGGTTTTGGGGTTTTGGGG